AGCGTGACACGTGTTAGCCAGGATTAATTCAGCCTTTTCCATTTTTAGAAATGGATTTAATCTTCGGAAATTCATAACTAATTCATACGACCTCAGAAAAATATGAAACCAGGACCAAAATTCATCTAAAATCAAGCTCTACGCAATGAACCCATGTTTGAGTGCATTTGGCTCTTTTGAATTTTCATTGCTTCTTTGTGCTATTCTATAGACGTCGCTAACGCGACTATAATTCGATCGTATGCAGACTCGGAGGGGAACCAGACGGACGAGGACCGAGAGTACCGTGAGGAGTACGGAGACGACTACACTGAAGGTGTCATATCCCACCCAATCTCGTAGCACCTATTACGCATGGCTAATATCGAACTGCTATTGCTCTACTTTATTGTTATATTCACACTAAGATAGGACTTGCATGGTAGTATGCTTACTTGATGGCCTTTACCTTGACACAACCTTACCCCTGCTTACCCTGCTATTAGGCTAGACACATGCTTGCTGCTATATTTCATAGCTTATTACTTCTACTACGCTTATACTACATTGATGCATGGTGGAAACTGGTGTTATCTGGACTATGGAGAGAGTGCTGCGTGTGTGACTTGGGTGAGTGGAGGGTAAGGGTTGTGTCGACCAAGTTGGAGTATACGACGAGCCTGGGGCAAGTCTTACCGTGGGGTGCTACCTGGGCACCCCTGGAATGGATACCTGTGGTGGGTAAATGGTATATGAGGTGGCCTTGGGTGTGAACCTATGATGGGAGGAGCCCATGGTGGAGGTGCTATGGTGGCACGGTAAATGGAAACCCTGATGAAGACATTCTGGCTTGGTCATCCCTAAGGACTTACTAGTACTCAGATTCACTGGGAAGCCTTACGTACCACTCGCCCTATATGGTGCGGGACGGCCGGACTACTTGGTAGGATATTGCCACTACTGCTAGGTTGATAGCGGGCAGTGCGAGGGAGGTACGGGGCGCGGAGGATTCCCCCACACCCTTCCGAGACTTCATGGAGACCTTGTGGACCCGGTTCATGACTCACAGTTTCAGCCACCCCAGGGTAGACTTGGGGTGTACCAGGGCTGAATGGTAGAGTGGCAGTATCCTAGGCTAGCAAGCGGCCGGAATCAGCCCAGTTGACGACGGCCAGCGAGGAAGGTAGATCTTATGGTTATGTGAAACCTCTGCAGAGTGTATGCTTGATCAATCGATACATATGCCGACTTGTCGGCTATGGACCTTTCCTGGGTTTCGCTTAAACTAGATAATGAGATGAGTCCTTCTCTTCTTCCCCCGTGAGTGAGTGTCGGTCGTAGCCAGGGGCTGCGGGCCTTGAGACAGTGCCGAGAGGGAGTTGGCCTGTCGACTGAGCGATGGTATGGTGGTGATGAAGGTGATGGGTATAGATGGTGGCTTATCGATCCCAGGATCGAAACCTGGCTCTGGATGGAAATGGGGAGGAATGGGTGTGGGAATGGTGTTAAAACTTGACTATACTATTATATACTTGATATGCTAAATATATAGAAAACCCCAGCCTTATAGGTTCCTTTTGATTATATCCAACTTGCATCCAATTTCCACAAAGCAATGCTCATAGGGTGGGAGTGGCCAGTACAAATCGTATTGATAAATTTTGGCACACAGGTTCTGCTGAGGAGTATAGCTCTGAGGAGTTTGACGGTTGAGGGGTTCGTTCCTACGCTCGAGTTGGCGATCTTATCTTCAAGCTGTTCTGAATGAATGCTACGTTTGAGTCCGCCAATGCGGCGATGTAATAATTTATGTAATTCCGCACTATTTGTACTCTGAATTTATCGTTGTATGGATGTGATATTCGACTGGGATTTGGGTATTATGATCTACAACGGTCATAATACACTTCGACTCTATGGATTTCCCATCGCGGAAATCGGGGTTGTTTCAGTTTCTGTAACGTCCTATCTCCTCGAGGCCATGCCCGCTTACATCTAATAGCTTTCCTACGACATAAACTGCCCTCATAGACCAACACCAGTCTTTTCTACGCACTTTGTCCTCACTCATGCGCCCCTGGGAAGAACTTCCCGGTCGGTCACCCATCGCTCCAGGCCAAGCACGCTTAACCTTGGAGTTCTTAAAAGATGGGCTTCCAGAAAAGAAGTTGCAACTTATTGGTATGAGCATCCTATTAATCCTATTAAGCCCTGGGCCGGGGTGTTATATCCTCACCCCCTTAGGAGACCGATGTCCTCGTCGGTCAACCCCAGGCCAGGAACGTCCCCTCTTGGCCACGTCCGTGTGTCCAGTGCCAGCGCATGTGCCATGCTGGATGACCACTCTGGGCCCACACCAGCCATGTGCACCATGCCTGCGCAACCGACACACACGCCCGTGAAACCGTAAGGGTCGTCTCTGATACCATTCTGTAACGTCCTGCCCCTCGAGGCCAGGCCCGCTTATATCTAATAGCTTTCCTACGACATAGACTGCCCTCACAGACCAACACCAGTCTTTTCTACGCACTTTGTCCTCACTCATGCGCCCTGGGAAGAACTTCCCAGTCGGTCACCCATCGCTCCAGGCCAAGCATGCTTAACCTTGGAGTTCTTAAGAGATGGGCTTCCAGAAAAGAAGTTACAACTTATTGGTATGAGTATCCTATTAATCCTATTAAGCCCTGGGCCGGGGTGTTACAAATAGGCCCTCACCTAGGCTCGATCGACGCTGCGAGTGGGTAGAGATGGTGGCGCGAAGAAAGGCAGAGCTACTGGCGTGCTGGCTCAGGCAATGGTGTGGCTGCGGTGGCGCACGAGCTCGGCGGAGCTCCTCGGCGTCGCTGCAGCTCGGTTTCTCCGTGGCGAGCACGAACGCGAGCAGGGCGAGGCAATGCGAGCGAGAGAGAGGACACGGGCACGACGCGGCGGTCATGCTGCTCCTCCCGGCCTGCTCCGGGCTCCCTCCGGCCGAGAAGAGGCCAGCCTCGGGGACGCTGAGGCCAATCACAGCTCGCCGGCTCTCAACACGAGCGTCGCGCGAGCCGTGTTGCCCACGGGCAGGGCAGCCACCGACGTGGACAGCTGGCCATTTGCCCGCGCTGCGCCGCACCACGATGTCGTGTCCGCGCCCAGAGCCACGTCGCCTTCGTGTGCGCCGCGTCCGCGCCGCGTCAACACTACGTTGACACCGCATGGCCGCCGTCCATCTCAAGCATGCGATGGAGCTGCCGACGGAGTCGGAGTCGCTGCCGAGCTCTTCTACGCCGAGGCCGCCGCTGTCCGTCCGCTCGCCGGAGTCCCGCGCCTCCGCCGCCTCCTCTGCTCCCTCTTCTTCCTCCTCTCCTTAGCTCTCTGCTCTGCCGCCGTCACCGCGCCCTGCTCCACCACGCCTCTGCTCTCCCTTACTTTCCCAGCACCGACCTACACCGGCCATAAAAGCCGGCCATGGCTGCCGAGCTCGCCAACCTCGCCCCATCCTCCGCCCTGCTTCCTCATCCCCCTCTATTCTCTGCTCTGCTCCTGCGCCATGGGACGGGCACAGTCAAGGCCGCCACGCCTCGCCTCCTTGGCTGAAGCCCTTGCGCCGAGGTTGCTGCGGGAGCTGGCATTGTCGCCCGTCGCCGTGCGTGCTCTGCTCCACGCGCCCCCGCTCTCCTCTTCTCCTCTCTGCTCCCCACCGCTCAGCCACAAGCACCGCCACCGCCCCTGCCGACGAGCTGAACTGCCGCTCCCTCGCCCCCTTCTCCCTCCACTCCGCATCTCTGCTCTGCTCTGCCTTTCTCCCCCAGCTCTACCCTGCCCTTTTCTCCCCTGCTGCTGTGCGCGGACAACAGGGAAGGATGGAAGATGCCGTTCGCCGTGCCCTCGCCTTGCTCCGCCGTGCCGCAGCAAGCACCACTGCCGCCCCTGCTCTGTTTCCCCGCTCCGCTCTCGCTCTCTCACACGCCAAGCGCCGCCGTGAAGAGAGGGAGGAGGATGACAGGTGGTCACAACCTGGCGGTGAGAGGGAAAGGCCTGACGGGCGGGGTCATGGCGGGTTTACTTTGCGGAAATCACGGTCGAATGGGCGCGATGGCCAATTTTAACTGGTTTTGAGAGTTAAGGAACTACGCGTGTCTGGTTTTTGAGTTAGAGGGCTAGAACAAAACTGTAGTCATAGTTGGAGGGCCAAAAATAAACTTTTTCCTAATAAAAAAAGGACGTACCCAGTGCTGAGAGCATCGTGCACTGTGCGGGGTCTGGGGAAGGGTATTAGCAGCAAGCCTTACCCTTGCGATGTGCAAATGCAAGGAGGCTGCGGCTCGAACCCAGGACCTTACGGTCACAGTCGGTAGTACTCTACCGCTTGCACTAGGCCCGTCCTTCTCTTTACCCACTAGTAATATTGTTGCTAATTTGCCTAGGGTATATCTTTGAAATTTAGGGAAATGGAATTGATGGTCCGCAGGTTTTGAATCATTTCAGAAACTTTATGTTTCCAGATTTTGCTGGCCTTCCCTCATTTGCAAACAATGATCTTCGGCTCCATGCTAACTGGATCTGCTGCTACTTATTTTTTTGCCTCCACTGTTATGGTATTTGATTACCTAAATTGACCTGTCCATGGTATGACAAATCCATGCAGGCTATTGAAGTATCAAGTAATGAATACGAACCGTCAGAGAAAGATGTGATATACGCTGAAGGAGTAACACAAGGGAATGGATTGGCCTTCATTGATTTCACTTTGGATGACCGGAGCCCTATGTCAGAACCCTTCGGTGACAATCATGATGCATACTCTCAACCAGTAAACAAGTAAAGTCTATCTTCATGCTCATGTCTAAAGCACATTGATACTGGGCTTCTTTCTTGTATCTTGTAGTCGTTTTGATGTGTTGGTATTGTGGAATCATATCTCTTGCTACTTTCTTAATTCAATAGCATAGTATGCAGGTTGCATTTTCTTTCCTCTCTTCATCTGTCAAATTCTTTCTCCTTGGTTGTCTCATCTGCTTCTATCTTCTCTCAGATACCAGCTGATTAGAGTAGGCATGAATGAGGGCTGCAAGTGGGTGGAAATGTTTGAGGATGTTAGCATGGTGATCTTCTCCGTAGCGCTCAGCGATTATGACGAGCTTGGAGCACCAGCGAGCGGCAGTAGTAGGACACTCATGAATAAGATGATTCAAAGCAGGGACTTGTTTGAGGCTACGATCAGGTACAAGAACCTGTTCTTAGAATTAGTTGAGCTCGATTCCAGTATATATCAACTTAAGTTACTGAACCATATATATATATACATTTACTTCCTACTATATACAGACAGCCGTGCTTCCGCGACATGCCGTTCGTGCTGGTGCTGAACAAGTACGACCTGTTCGAGGAGAAGATCGGTCGGTCGCCGCTGTCGTCGTGTGAGTGGTTCAGCGACTTCTGCCCGCTTCGGACGCACCACAACAACCAGTCGCTGGCGCAGCAGGCGTTCTACTACGTGGCCATGAGGTTCAGGACCTGTACGCGGCGAGCACGGGGCGGAAGCTGTTCGTGTGGCAGGCGCGCGCCCGCGACCGCCCCACCGTCGACGAGGCCTTCCGCTACATCCGGGAGGTGCTCCGGTGGGAGGATGAGCGCGACGCCGCCGGCTACTGCCCCGAGGAGTCCTTCTACAGCACCACCGAGCTCAGCTCGTCCCGCCTCATCGCCGCCGCAGAGTGATCTGACATGTGTATAGCTGTTGGTGTTGGTTCATTTGCTGGAATGCTGGCACAATTATTTGTAGTAACTGTACAGGCTTGTTATTTGTTCGTCGTAGAGCATTATTGCAGTGTTGTTTTGTATAATTGTATGCCTGTTAGTAACTTTTCCAAACAAAATCAAATATAGTGAAGGAAAGATCTTGTGCTGATTAGCAGAGCTTAAGAAATTCAGAGCGTTACTGATGCTTCATTGCTTCCTGATTTGCTGATCCTGTTCTGACCTGAGAAGCTGACAGGTGGGTCCCACTTGCTGATGGTTTACTGGTCCTGCGCTATACAGAGTGGCTGCCATGTGAGCCCACTGGAGTTACCTGGAGCCAAGAAAAGGAGGAAAAAAGAGAGAGAGAGAGAGAGAAATCTAACTAACCTTATCTTTCTCGTCTTCCCTTCCCGCGCCCGTGGCAATGGCTGCCGCTCCTCCTCACGGCCACACTCCAGTGGGGGCCGCAGCGGCCACGTCCGCCGCCGTATCCATTGCCTGCTCGTCCTCCGCCGCTTCCTGTAACGAAGATGACGATGACTACGGCGGCGCGTCGTCCTCCTGGTCTCTGTCCTCGCCGCGCCGCGGGCAGCCGTACCGGCGCCTCCTCCGCGACGAGGCCCAGCGGCTCCGGCGCGCGCGCCGGGGCCAGGGTCCGGGCGCCGACATGCCGCGGTGGGTGCGCCGCACCACGGACCAGATGGTCCGGTACGTCGAGGACGACCGCGCGGGGCACGTGTACGGCCGCCACGTGGTCGCCGCCGTCCGCACGGTGCGCGCCACGGCGTCGCGCCCGTCCGCCGACATGCGCCAGGCCATGGCGTCGTTCGTGACCAGGCTCACCTTCCGCGAGATGTGCGTCGTACTCCGCGAGCAGCGCGGCTGGCGCCAGGCGCGCGACTTCTTCGCTTGGATGAAGCTTCAGGTGCGGGGCCACACACGCCGCCCAACTTACATTCTTACAAAGCTTGCTGCTTTCTTAGCCTTTGTTATTGGCCGATTTGGCCCAATCGTGAACTGATTGGCGTCCCTGTCCGCCTGATTCTGCTGATCCCTGCAGCTGTGCTATGAACCAAGCGTTGTAGCCTACACCATTCTGCTGCGGTTGTATGGCCGGGTTGGGAAGATCAAGCTTGCTGAAGAGATGTTTCTTGAGATGCTGCAGGTTGGCTGCGAGCCTGATGCAGTGGCATGCGGGACCCTCTTGTGTGCATATGCTAGGTGGGGGCGACACAAGGACATGATGCTGTTCTACTCGGCGGTGCGCAGGCGCGAATTAGTTCCCCCAGTCTCGGTCTACAACTACATGATCTCGTCTTTGCAGAAGCAGAAGCTGCATGGCAAGGTCATCCATGTGTGGAAGCAGATGCTGGAAGCTGGCGCGCGGCCTAATCAGTTCACATATACAGTTGTCATCAGCTCCTTTGTCAAGGAAGATCTCTTGGAGGAGGCCATGGATGTGTTTGGTGAGATGAGGCGGTGTAGGTTTGTTCCGGAAGAGGCGACTTATAGCCTTTTGATCAGCGTGAGCTCCAGACATGGCAAAGGAGAACAGGCATTGCGGCTTTTTGAAGAGATGAAGGCTCAGGGAATTGCCCCCAGTAACTACACCTGTGCATCTCTCTTGGCCCTGTATTATAAGAATGAAGACTACTCAAAGGCTCTTTTGCTCTTTTCTGAGATGGAAAATAGTAAGATCATTCCTGATGAGGTTATCTATGGAATTCTTATTAGGATATATGGTAAGCTTGGGCTTTATGAGGAGGCAGAGCAAACGTTTGAGGAAATTGAGAAGGTGGGTCTTCTGAGCGACGAGCAGACTTATGTGGCAATGGCTCAAGTTCACTTGAATATTGGAGATCATGATAGAGCATTGGAGGTGTTAGAATCTATGACTACTAGAAATGTGAAGCCTTCACACTTTTCTTATAGCGCTCTTCTCAGATGTTATGTTGCAAAGGAAGACATAGCTGCTGCAGAAGCTACCTTCAGAGCTCTCTCCCAACATGGCCTGCCTGATGCGTTTTGCTGTAATAACCTGCTCAGATTGTATATGAGGCTGGGACATCTAGAGAAGGCCAGGGCACTAGTTTTAAAGATGAGGCCAGACGATTTCCAGCTTGATGAGGACCTCTCTATGACAGAGATGGAATTTTATTGCAAAAGCAGTATGATTAAGGATGCAGACAAATTATTCAAAGATATTCAGAGAAACAGAAAAACCGTGAAGATTCCAACAATGCTTTTGCTTATAGAGATGTATGCTAGAAACAGATCCTGTGTGATTCTGAAAGAGCACAGCTCGTCAAAGGCACTCGATGAAACTGAAAGTTCAGCAGCTAGCGTGGTGTTGAAATCCTTGTTGGACATGCCTGGGGGCTTGTCCAGTGTGTCCCTACTGATCAGCAAATTGGCTAGGGAAGGTGAGAAAGCTAGGAGCAACTGAGAACAGGGCACTCACACCTAATAATAGCAATCTCTGACAGCTGTCTATACATGTATTTGCTGCAGGGAGCACAGATGAGGCAAAATTCATTTATGATCAGCTGACTGAATTGGGAATCAAGCCTGATGATTCAGCAATCGCTACATTGATTGTCCAGTATGGCCAGGCCAAGCAGTTAGAGCAAGCACAAGAACTATTCAAGTCAGCATCAGCATTCTTTCCAGAAGGAGCAAATGTTTACAATGCCATGGTTGATGCATTCTGTAAATGTGGCAAAACTGAAGACGCATATCATCTTTTCATGGAAATGGCTAAAGGCAGTAATAGAGATGCTGTGACAGTTAGCATTCTTGTCACTCACCTAACTAAACATGGTAAAGGTTTTTTTTTAATATCTGTACTTGTTCTATCGCTTTATTCAGCTGCTTCCTGCTATGTATCCAATTCTTTTTAAATGGCCATGGTTACTGCCACCGCCAGGGAAATTTCAAGAGGTTGAAAACATCATACATGGCTGTTTCCAAGATGAAGGTCAGCTCGACACCGTCTTGCACAATCCTTTTATCAAATCAATGCTTGAGTCAGGTCTGGCTAACATATTCTCCTATTCATCAGATAGGCAAGCAAAATTTCTGGTTGCAGGGCATCATAGCTAACTTCTGCATTTTTAGTTTCCAAGCAGGTAAACTGCATTCAGCCATCAGCATCTATGATCGTATGATATCCTCTGGCATTTCTCAGTCTATGCAGACATTTAATTTAATGATAAGGTAGATAAGTTTACAGAAACCCCTGGAAAATGGGAGCCCAAATTCGGAATTGCATTCTTTTTCTTGAATATGTTGTTTGTAGTACCACGTCATCACTCATCAGCTTCAATCTTCTATTCAGTGTTTATGGCAAAGGAGGAAAGCTGGACAAGCTGTTGAAATGTTTGCTGCTGCACAGGAGCTAGGCTTGCCGATTGATGAAAAGATGTACACAGACATGCTTAGCTTATATGGAAAAGCCGGTCAAGTTCTTGTGCCCTGTAAACAAAACAACTAAAGATCTTCTGATTGATTATTTTTGCCCACTGCTTCAGTTTTCCTTCTATCCAGTTCTAAGACTATGGATTTTTCATATTTTCAGATAGGCATCAGGAGGCGTCTTTAATGTTCAAAAGAATGAAGGAAGATGGCATCAGGCCCGGAAAGGTTCTCTTTCATTGAATGTGACTTTTGAAATTGCTTTCAGAAAACAAGGAATGCTGTAGTTCCCCCTTGATCATCTAAAGCAAACATGGCTAATCTGGACCAAACTTGCAATGTGCAGATCAGCTTCAATTCCATGATCAATGCCTATGCCACTTCAGGACTGTATAGCGAGGCGAAAAGCATATTCTAGGAGATGCAGGACTGTGGTCACGCTCCCGACTCGTTCTCCTACCTCGCGCTGATTAGAGCATACACGGAGGCTAAACTGTACACTGAGGCAGAAGAAGCCATCCAGATGATGTTGAACAGCAACACAACCCCTTCCTGCCCTCATTTCAGCCACCTGATTTTCGCCTTTCTGAAGGAAGGCCAGATTGGTGAAGCCCAGAGGATCTACAACCAAATGAAGGAGGCAAGTGTGGCTCCTGATCTGGCCTGCTGTAGGACCATGATGAGGGTGTACATGGAGCACGGTCTCATGGATGAAGGCATCTCTCTCTATGAGACGACGCGCGGCTCGCTGAAACCTGACAGCTTCATCTTGAGCGTTGCGTTTCATTTGTATGAGCATGCAGGCAGGGAGTCTGAAGCCCAGGATGTCCTGGATGCCATCAGTGTGAGTGGTACCTCCTTCCTGAGGAATATGAAGATTGGATCGAAGCTTTGATGAACCTGAAGGACTACCCGTGATGTGTACATAATCTAAAAGAAGTTAAGTTAGGGCACTTAAACATGCAAAAAAAATTTTCCTTTCATTCCCTTCGGGGGTGAGCACAAGTGCAACTGCTTCAGAATTCAGGAGCACATATACCACAATGGTACAGAGCCAAGAATGAATGGTGTGACCCATGACTATTTTAGAAATTACTACCCCCTGTTTATGATTTCAGGGCATGCTAATTAGTTCAAATAAAGCAATTAGTTTGTCCTAAATATCTCCCTCGTAACTCAGCCATGTTCTTGGCCAAGAACGTAACCTGCAACCATGCTAGCCGTGTTCTTGGCAAACAACGTAACCCCAACTTCTGCCCATCTACCTACGTGGCATTCTTTAGCTGCTAGTCATGGACGTTGTCGAACAGCTCGTCCGTCGCCAGCACTACAACGTTTTAAAGTTGGTAAAAACGGCCGCCCACTTGTACCACACCATTGCCAGATGACGAGATGATGAGCACAATAGCTCATTGAGATTGTGGCGTACCATGAGCGATTGGGGCGTACAGTAGACAGTGAGTGACGCTGTAAATTTCACGGCTTGTGCAATACAATGTTTTTACTTTCAAAACAGAGTTCAAACCTTGGGAACTTCAAGCTTAAAGTTGGTAAAAACTTCAGCATGAGTGCCAAACAAACAAGTGCCAATAAGTCACCCAGCTGCATCACTGAAATAACAGTGCTTCCAGTACTTAGTTCATAAAAATGCACAAGTATAAAGCTGGCTCAGAACATGAAAAATGTAACGAATGCTAACACAAAACATAAAGTCGTCATACTCCAATTGCATAACTAGACATACCCAGGTTCCAACGGCGAATTCTTACAGTTTTTAGATCTCTAAGAAAACCAGTGGTAAATTCTTACAGCAGAAATCATTGACCGTCACTGCACTAAGAGAACATACTGGGAACAACCCATGTAGGTTGCACCATGCCCATGTGGTCGTCATGTAAGCGAGTTACATAAATAAAAGCTCGAAGCCAGGTGGCATCATCTCCGAGCAGTGGCTTGCCCAACTCAAATGCAACCAAATGGCCAGAACGAGAATCATAGCAGTATACACAGTTGCTTCTCCCTCCCCACCTCTCTGGGTTCATGCACGATAGAGCCTCAACTCCAAGGTAATTGCTGATGAATATCGCCCATTTCTCCAACCTCTCTACCTTTACCCACTTTGCAGGTTCAGTCGAAGTGTCCAGATGATAAGCTTCAAATGAAGGCCCAGTTCCTGAGGAATCGCTTCGGCAGCCAACCACAAGAAGCATGTCGCCGCACACCACCAGCCAAGCGAATCTAGGATGCCATTCGGTCATGCTATTTCTTCCACCCCAGGAAACTGGTATCTCCTGTAAGTGGATCTGGAGAGTCAAGTGAACCATGAACAGCCTACGATCAGAACCCATGCCAAAGACCTGGTCTTTGAAGACTACAAATTTGGTGAGTGGCCCATTGCGAGGAGAGCATTTTGACCAAGAGTTACTACCAATAGGCCAAAAGAAGTTGGAGGACTTAGTATAGACAATAAGATGTGGGTTGGGAGATGCTAGAGGACCTGTGAGGGCAGCACCATAGCAGAACTTAGTGTTTCCAACAACTGGCAGTGGCAGTCCTGGCAGTGGTAGAGGTGCTATGAGATCAATACCATAGCAGAACCTAGTGTTTTCATCAACTGGCAGTGGTGGAGATGAAACCTCAATACCAGTGAACACATCAAAAAGAAAACATGTTTTGTTGCTGCAGAAGATCATATGGCCAAATGAAGCACCCTTAAAACCAAAATCAAAATCAAACTCATCCAAAGCACTTGGTAGGCGGTTATTTCTCTAGTCGATAGAAAGCAGAGGAATCTGAGAGCAAAGTAACGTATCTTGGCTGGCTAGATCAACGACGTAACATGGGCATTTGGGTATAGAGGTGTTTCTGGTAACATTTGGAAAAGGGTGAGGGGAGCAGAAAGAGACATTAGGGTCGAGGAGAAGACGTGGAAAGAGCGCGTATAAGGTAGATTTAGACGGGTAAGATGAGAAGGCAGAGCGCCAGGCGGGGCAGGTGGCTGCAATGGCAAGACAGTCATGGAAGGACCCCAACAATTCAACAATGGAGTGCAGCAGGCCATCTGGGAGGCCTGCCCAATCTCGAAGCTTGGACATAACTTGTAGGTGAAAGCAGCTTCTCTGTGACAAATCGTAAACCCAAAGCAAATGTTAGCAGATTGAACTGGAGAGAATAAAGGGAACAAAACTGGTAAAAATTTATAGAAAACATGGCTAGCACATATGTTTTCTCAAAATGTCAAATTGTAAGCACAAGAATGTGGGAAAATATTGGGTGCAAACCACCCTCTTGGTGCAATCGTGAAAACCCTTCAAAAAACCCTCTTAGATGTTTTCACAAATTATAAAATGATGCACATCCATAGTTCATCCATGTACGTTGTAGCAAAAGTTGGGAGGCAAACTTATTGTGTAAACATCCATACAAAATTGACAAATTTCAGGTGCAAGTGCACTAGAAGACAAAATTCCTGGGAATTTGTCTTCTAGTGCAAATACACATGAAATTTGTCATTTCCATGAGTTTTTCTAGATTGATTTTGTTTCCCAACTTTTGCTACAACATACATCTGTGGTTTGTGAACTTTTTCCAATGTTATGGGTTTCCGCTTGATATTTCTCGTGCATAGAACTCCCCCCCCCCATTAAAGTATACAGTAAACAAAAGCACAAATGCAATCACACCAAAGCGATTGCATCTCCACATCTGTGGTTTGTGAACCAGGGCAAATAGCAGGCTTAAATGAAGCTTAGACCTGGCCCAGTACCAAACTTGTCTTATTGATATTTCGGAATTTCTAAACAACAACTGACTACTTTGATATTTATTTACATGATTTATGTTGGTTATCCAATGTTTTTTATACTTTCAAAACAGAAGTTCAAACCTTGGGAACTTGAAGCTTAACGGGGCGTTTGGTAGCGCTCCCAAAACGGCTTCGGGAGCAGCTTCACCTCGTTGCCAACCAAACGGGGGCAGCTTCGTCGGCTCCGCTCGTGAAGTCCCAAGAAACGTGCTCTCACAGAAGGTGAGCGCACGATGAAGCTAAAAAAGCAGCTTCGACCAGCTCCCTGGGCGAGGCGCGGGGGCGTAGACATGGATGCCCCTCACCAACGCCTTCAGCGAGCTCCTGCAAACGGTGAAGGACGAAGCTGCTGTGGCGGCGGCACGGTTGGCTGAGGCAGGGACGGGCCTCCTCCGTGGCTCTGTTCGCACGTGAGGGAGGCGGGAGAAGAAAGAGACGACCGAGTCGATCGAAGAAGCAGAGGCGAAGCCGTGAAAAAGCTGAGGAGGATTCGTGGGGCGTGCGGTGGATGGATGGAGGCGATAAGGTGAGTGCGGTTGTTGGGGGTGGAGAGAGAATAGGGGAAAAATAAAATAAGTAAAGGGAAATTAAGAAAAGAAACAAAATAGTAAGAGAGTATTATAGACCTTTTACAATCTAAAACAATCAAGAAAAGTTGTTCTACCAAAAGTTTTTCTCAAACAGCTTCAACTTTATCAATATAAAGCTGCTTCATCAGCTGAAGTTAAAAAAAACTGCTTCCAAACGGCCGGCCCCTAAAGCTGGCTTTGCTTTCACATGAGTGCCCAATACAATGTTTTTAATTTCAAAACAGAGTTCAAACCTTGGGAACTTCAAGCTTAAAGCTGGCTTAACTTCAGCATGAGTGCCAAACAAATAAGTGCTAAAAAGTCACCCAGCTGCAGCACTGAAACAATAGTGCTTCCAATACCAGTACTCATCAGTTCATAAAAAACACACGAGCACAATAATCCTGGCTCAGAACATGAAAAATGCGATGAATGCTATACAGAGCACAAACGTCGTCATGCTCCAGTTACATAATTAGACTAAGAAAAAAACCAGTGGTAAATTATTACATTGGAAATCATTGGCCATCACAGTACAAAGAGAACATACTAGGGACAATCCATATAGGTTGCCCCATGCTGTCGTAACATGAGAAACTGAAGGCATCAGATTTGGGGGCATCATCTCCATGCAGTGGCTTGCCCAACTCAAATGCAACCAAATGGCCAGAACCAGAATCATAGCAGTATACACGGTTGCTCCTCCCTCCCCACCTCTCTGGGTTCATCCACTTGGTAGTGGCTGAGCTCTCGAGTCATTGCTGATGAATATCGCCCATTTCTCCAACCTCTCCACCTTCACCCACTTTGCAAGTTCAGTCGAAGTGTCAAGACGGTAAGCTTCAAATACAGACCCTATCACATGGAAATCCTTTCGGCAGCCAACCATGAGAAGCATGTCGCCGCACACCACCAGCCTAGGGTTGCAAAGATGCCATTTGTTTATGCTATTTTTTCCACCCTAGGAAACTGGTATCTCCTATAAGCGGATCTGGGGAGTCAAGTGAACCATGAACAAACTACGATCAGAATGCACCATGCCAATGACTTGGCCTTTGAAGACTACAAATTTGGTGAGTGACCCATTGCGAGGAGAGCATTATGACCAAGAGTCACTACCATCATGCCAAAACAAGTTGGAGTACTCAGTGTAGACAATGAGATGTGAGTTGGGAGATGCTAGAGGACCTGTGAGGGCAGCACCATACCAGAACTTAGTGTTTCCAACAGCTAGAAGTGGTGGAGGTAACACCTCAATACCAGTGAACACATCAAAAATAAAACATGTTTTGTGTCACACCCAACGACCACTAGTGAAGGGCATGCCATGAAGAGGAAGTTGTATACCTCATTAGCTTTACGTATTTCGTTGTATTATGTTTTCATTATTGAACTGTATTGTGGGGCCGAATGTCCAGTGACCGTAATGGCACATAAGTGCCCGAATCCTATGCCATGTCCGGCAACGACTCTTCCAATTGGTAATCCAATTCGCCAAGGCAGTGGGGTTTGCCCTACCGGCGTCGTTGTTCCATACTTGCTCGAGTGCTCACGTCGACGGTGATCCACCGGCGGCCACGGGTGTGACAGCTGGTATCGGAGCCGACCTATCCTCGGCGTGGGGGGCGCTCACCGGTCTTCATCTTTGCTTCTACCTCGACTCCAACCTCGCCCGACAGCGGATCCAGCACGCCGACAGCACCACCACCACCGCAACCACCACCACCACCACCACCGGCACTCCGCCTACCTCGGTAACGTTTCGACTCCGTTCGCTTAGATCACGGTTCGTAAATCCGGTCAGCAGGTGACCTTTGTCCACACCCTAGAGGTGTTCAACGTGAGGTCCCAGAAGTCCCTCCTTTGGTTGAACTGGGTCGGCGGCGGCGTTGGGGTAACCTGGCTTGAGCACCACCACACCCACTTCCACAACACATTAAATCCCCATCCACACTGACAGTCTGCTACATCTACGGATCGCCAAACAACTGGGGGACCACACCAACAATTCTGAGTTCGGCGGCGAAAACTATCGTGAGCATATTCAATTCTGCTCCTTTACATTCATTTAGCACATTTGGATGAATGGCGAGGGTTGCAGGACATTTGTTCTTGCGTAAATTTCCGTAGTTGGTTCATTCAAATTGGTGCAGAGAAGTTGGCGGGGAGTGTCCTTGAGTTTGGGTTGCGGGGCAAGTGTTCCCATGTCAAATTCCTCGGCTCAGCCTCACTCCCAGGCGGCGATGAACGTGACAGACAACACCAAGGGGAGGAGCAATCCGAACCTATTGTTTGATCACCTGTTGGCTCAGTTCTATTCCGATCAGTCACCACGGCTCCAATCAAGCCATCAAAGCAGACACAGCTTCTCTTGGACAATATGTCTAAAAACACTGAAGAGGAGAACACACGGTGGGATCAGGTTATGGAACACTTTGATCTCCTGTTCACAAGGGTCAATGACATTGGTGAAGTCTAGCAGTAGATGAAAACTCAAATGGATATCAGGGGACAAGCAATGGATAATTACACGGCTGAGCAGCACTTAATAGCCCAACAAGTCAAGGCCAATGGTGCAGCAGTTGGCCAGCTCACGCTGCGGCACTTTGAACATGAAGGACCATTTGAGGATGATTCTTCAGTGTCTATCATCTTCGACGAAGAACAATAGTTTGAGAATGTCTTTGCTAAGGACAAGGGTCCTCACTAGCCTGAAATGTCCAAGACCAAGAAGCCACCCCCAAGCACGACAAGAAGACAACCCTACCGACACAAGCGATGCCAAAAATGCAGTTCCCAAAGTTTGATGGTCACAATCCTAAAATCTGGAAAGACAACTGCAAGTGCTATTTTGAGTTATCCCAGCTGTCCGAAGGCATGTGGATCACAGCGGCACACCTCCACTTTGAAGGTAATGCTGCCAAATGGTATCAAGCTTATAAGAAAAATTACACCTTCAGGGATTGGGATCATTTCTGCTCGACGGTGGAAGAGGAATTTGGGTCTGATGATTTTTGAACTGCTATGAATGCTTTGTTGGACCTCAAACAAACTGGCACCATGGAAGATTACACCACCCAATTCCAGTCTCTTCAATATGATGTTACAATGCACAATTCCAGTTATGATGAAATGTTCTTCACACCATAGTACATAAGAGGACTTAAGGAGTAGATCAGGGCGTCAGTAGAACCTCAGATGCCAACAACAGTACAGAAGGCTTCTACCATTGCCAAAATTCAGCAGGGCATGCTGGAACACAGTAAATCTCGCTATCACAAACCAGCTAATCAGGTCAGACCTTATGCTCCTCCAAAGG